GGCAAATTTGCTATTTGTGTTTTCCTTATGGATGTGTCATTCCAATGTTGTGGCCATTTCTACCCTGGGTTATCTTTTGTTGTAAATGAGGGAATGCTAGCCAGCTCCAGCGTGGCGAGCATGGCTCTGACAGGCCTGGCCCTTCTCCCCATTCCCTCTGCCTTGCTAAAAAACCATTAGATTACATCCTTAAAGCTAGCCATCGAGATCTGCTTGTTCTGTTTGGCCACTTCCTCCTCCTGAGGCTGACCACTAAGGTCCAGCAATCAGAAGCCCCCTTTGGCTCACCTAATTAACATGCCTTATTAAAATTAAACACCTCATCCTAACTTGTTTCCCCTTTACCTATATAAACTGCCATTTCCCTGTGCCATGTCTGTCTCTCTCTATCCAGAGGTAGTCCTTTGTTCCTCTGGGACAAACACCCCTGCCCCCTTTCCCTTGCCCCCTTCCCCTTCTCCCTCATCCCCTATCTCCTTTACCACCGCATCCTAGCCCACTCTAACACAGACCTCCCCTTCCTCTCCTCTTAAAATTACACCTGCAACGGCATTTGCTGCTGTTCTTCTGCCTGAGGCAGAAAGCAGCTGCTTTAACTTTCCTTCCCAGCATAAAAAAAGTATTTCTCTGGGTAAACAGGTGTTTGGGTGTGGCTTGTGCCTAATCCTTGGTCTGGGAGGGAGCCACCACTGTGTGGGAGTCCCCTTCAGTAAGTGTTCTGAATATGCCCCAAGACAGAACTCAATTTGTGTCTATTTTCTCCAGGCCTTGTGTTTATTGTTATTTTAAAAATAATTGTTTTTATTGCTTTGTGATTATGTGTATGAATGTTTCTGTATGTGGTACGTGCATGTAAGTGCAGGTGGTCCTTGGAGCTGGAGTTATGGGTGGTTATAAGCCATCTGATGTGGGTGCCTTGCAAGAACATACCGTGCTCTTAACTGCTGAGCTAGCTGCCCAGCCAGTGTTCATTTTTTAGCTGTATTATTTCAAAGTCCATTTATTGAATTTTTTATAGTTTGTGCTAGTTTGTATTTTGTTTTCTTGCTTTGTTCTGTTTACAAGACTGGCCTAGAGTTGATTATGTAGCCCAGGCTAGCCTAAAGCTCATAGTGACCCTCCTGCTTCAGCCTCCTGTATTCCTATATGCTAGGATTATAGTTATGAGCTACCACACATGGCTTGGTTTGTGCTTATTAATGTCCTATTTAAGGATAGTCAAATAACTCAATATTGTGGAAAGTGTTGTGACATTGTACCCCACTCAAAATCTCAGGAACTCCTAGGTCCCTGCTTCAGAGGACCATCAGTGTATGTACAGCGGGCATGACATGAAAATAGCAGCCATCTCCAGCTGCCAGTCAGCTTCTGCCCACTCGCTGCTGTCCTCGGCAGTTTGACAAGGCAGCAGGGTCTGCTGCTACCCAGCAGCAACATCTCCAATCCCTGTGACCACTGGTTCCACAAGATTGATGGTTGCATTTAAAAAATTCACACAGACCTGGAACCAACACGAGAAAATACAGACTTAAATTAGCAAGGAAAAAGAAGAACCAGAGGAAATAAATTGTGCTGGCAACTACTGTCACATAATAAAATGTCACCTGTAACTGAAGGGCTTTTGTACAGGGCTGTCTGAGACTTAGTGGCCATGTTAATTGAACAAGGTGCCTCACATTGACTTGGGGGCAAGAATGAAATTTCCCTTAGCATCTATTTAGTTGGAGTTGTTGTTGGCAGCAGTGTGATGCTTATCTATTACAGAAACACCAGCCCCTCTGCACTGATGGAATGGCTCCAGAAGCAGCATCCAGCCCTGGCTTTTCAGGTACAACCCTGTCTCCTCAGGGCAGTTCCTGAGGAAGGAAAGCTGGCTAGAAGCTCTCCGGGGCTTGAAGGCTGCCCGGACACCTTTCCATCAATGTTGGAAAAATTGTTACCTGAATCAAGTAGCAGTTGTTAATGACTGATGATCCCCAAGACTCCCAGTGAGAGGGCAGCCTGCCCTCTAGGCTTCCTGGTTGTTAGGGAGTGTCTCCACAGCCACTGTGTCTACCTAGAGAGTGGTCCCTTTGGAGCCCACTCCAGTGATCCTGCTGTTCCTATTACATAGTGGGCACCAGCCATGGTCACCTCCTTGAATATCTTGGTGGCATTTGAAGCCATGCAGCCGTTGGCCCAGCTGCAGGGGAGCTGAGCAAATAGACTAGCTCCATTGAGGTCCTGCCCTCCCTTCTCTACTGCAGTGCAGTGACATGACCTCTTCTCTGATTTGGCACGTGCCTGAGGCTGGCAGGTTTCAGTTTCAAATATGGGAATTAGATTTTTTTTATGGGTGCCAGCTTGGTCCATCTAGCAACTGCCTAGGATTTGCACAAAGACCTTGAACTATTTCAGTGCACAGTTGTACGGTAGCTTCAACTGCCCCCCCCCATCGTTTGATATCATCGGCTTTATAGGCCATGCCATGAGGAAAGTATTTACTGTTTATGTAAAGTTATCCTTGAATCAAAGGGAGCTGCATTTTCCAAACCATTAACCAGCCCAGTCCTGAGGATGAAAAGGAGGCAAGTGGGAAGCCTTGCTGGAAGATTCCCAAAATTATCCCTAATTACAAGTCAAAATCAAATTTATTCATTCAGCAAGTCCTAGATAATTTTACAGGATCTCCCCTGAAGTATGCAAGTGCTGTTGTATGGGGCTTTGTTCTCAGCACTGGGGTCCTAGGGGAAAAAAAATGATGGAGCTCAAACTCTGTCCCACAGAAAGCAGGGTGAGGGCATCATCTCTCCAAGGGAGGCCAAAGCAGGTATCTGTGAGGGGGCCTGTCCAGAGAAGCCAGTCTGTGAAAGAGTATGCTGGCAGACAGAAATAGCAAGTGCAGATGCCTGAGCAAGTGTGAAAGCCAGAGGGGAAGGGCACAAAAACCTGAAGCTGGGGTTGGAGAGTGTGGATTGTGGGGGCTGGGCTAAGCTGGCAGGGTCTCACAGCCAGTGAGGCAACTTCAGGAAGGGAGGGTACAGTGTGCCATAGTGCTGAAGGCATGGGGACAGCTGAGGCAGCTGGCCACTGTGTCCACAGTCAGAGAACACAGATAAGCACTGCCACTTGGCTTGTTTTCACCTTGGTCAATCAGGGACCTTGCAGACCTTCCCACCTCAACCTAGTCTGGAAACTCCTTCCTGGTATGCCCAGACATTTGTTTCCATGGAGAGTCTAAATCCCATCATGTTGACAAGGTTAACCCTCGCTTGCACCAAGTTAAAGGGTTCACTCATACCACCTGTGAGTGACACCTGCTCTGCCGGCGTCACAGCCTTTGTCTGCTGGGAGGTGATACATCTTTCAGAGGTCACCGCCAGCTCCAGCACTGAGTGAGATTAAATCCCACATCCAGTGAACTCTGGATGGCAACGCCCTTGACCCACAGAGGACCAGACCACTAACTGGCTGTCACTTGTTGGGGTTGCTGTCCTAGTGTGTGGCAGGGATCCTCAGTCAGTGGCATTGCTGGCTTCAGAAACATAGCCAGGACACCACCATCCTGCCTGAGTGACATCTCTCCAGTCTGATGGTCTAAGTTCTAAGGCAGCACAGCTTTAAATAATAGTTCCCATCACCTCCAGAAGTGAGGATCTGCTGTCTCTCATTCCCACACTTCACAGGTTTTGCTGTGGAGGGGCCTGTAAGTTAACATCTGTGGAGATGATTAGGCATTGCATGTGAGGCTGGCCGCCCTGTGCCTGATACTAGAAACTGAAGCCCACACTCGTCTCCTCTCACCTGAGCACGGCATCTCTCCTCAGCCCCAAATCCCCGCTTCCTTCCTGAGAGAAGAGTGGGTACAAAACAATGTAGAAACTTGATTTCTTTTTAACATTTGTCTGCTGAGTGGCTCCTGGAAGACTTAGGTCTGTCTTTGCGCTCTCTGGTTTCCACATTCCTACACCCTCATCACCCCATGCATATAAACAGACACCTTCCTTTCTCCCCTGTGAGTTCCTGGCTGCTGTGGCTGCTGCCTTCTTCCTCCACCCACCTGCTTCCCTCTATGGTACAGAGGCATGGGACCCGCCATGCAGAGAAGCGTGATGACAGCCAGCAGCAGTTGGTGCCACAGAAGGACCAAGAGGATTAAGGTCAACACTTGATTGGGTTGACAAGTATTCAATACTTACTCTGTGACAGAAACTGTCCTAGCAAATGGTGCAAAGTTGAGATCTGGCCCTGCTGTTGAGCATGTGTCAGCCCTGAGAAAGAACATCCAAGCAGTTGGGTGAGGTCTTGAAGGGTGAACAGGAATTCTGACATGATCACCCCACCAACATCTTCGATTTGAGTAACAGCTAGGTATATATAGCCCAAGCATAAGTGACTGAGCAATCCCAAGGCAGCCCTGAGGCATCCAGGAAGTTAGTGGTACAGTGCCCCCCATGCTGCTGGGCTCTGTACCCCACCACTGTAGTTCACCTTGTCAGTTTTGGCTGAAGGCAGCCATGAGCGGGTTGATGGATACTTGCCCTTGACAGAGGCTCATTCCACTCTGCTCACTGACTCGCTCATAGCCAGCTTTGCAGACTTAGGGAAGGTGAGCTCCTGAGCATCTATTGTGTCTTTTGGTCCAGTGGGCACAGGCCACAGTGGCTCAAAGCAAGGTGTCATGCTCACTGCCAGAGGTCACTAGTCTCCTTGGTTGACCTGATAGTAAAATCCCACTGGCTATGGTGGGTGTGGAAGCCACTGTTCCGAGCCTGAGTGTTTTGGTAACATTAATGCACTGTATACCACACTGAGGCCCGGGCCAGACTGCCAGTCTCTATGGAATGCTCTAAAGGTGAAGAAAATGGCTGCTGGTTCCCTGAGAGGGAGGTGGAGGTCTACAGAAGCACCTGCCCTGGCCACTGCGCACTGCTGTTCAGCTACAGATGACATCATGTTCTTTCTGAGTCTAGGGGCCACGGCACACTCCTTATAACCACCTTCTCTCCTGTCTCTCTCAGGCACATCTCACTAACACTGCCAGCTACCTTCCGAGGCAGAAACAACACCAGTGCCGACTATGAGTACCAGCTCTCCAATCTGTATGCCATTTCAGGTATGTGGGCCACCGCCACTGTAACAAGCCAGTGCAAAACTCTGCCTGTGGACACCTCCATGCTCCCACTTCTCACCGCACCCCCACCCCACCCTCTGCCCCCAGAGGCCTTCCCTGCAGAACATGGCCTTCCCTTTCCTCTGTGTTAACTTAGAGAAAGGCCAAATGCATGTTTGGAAGCTAATGAGGAGCACTGTGGGTTTCTCAGGCTGAGGGAAGGTTTGGGGTAACTCACCACATCATTCACCTGCCAGTCCAGGCAGCCCCCCACCCCCACACGGTAGTGCTGAGCTGCCACGTTCCTGCCTGTCCTCACCTCATGTTTGTCACAGCTAGCATGTGTCCAGTGGGGACACACCCTCTTCCCCCTCACTGGCCCAGAGTCTGTGTCTGTGGTTTCTGAACTCGGCCTGGAAATGGATAGTGTTACTGTGGCAGGAACTTCACCAGCCCTAGTTTCCCCATCACCTTCACCAAGGAGGGGAAATAGGGCGGCCTGCTGCATAACTGAGATTCATGAGCTGTGAGGCCATACGGGTGACCCGCTAAGAACCCAGGAAACCCACAGACACCTCCCATCGCTGGGGCCCTGGACAGCGGTGTTTGTCTGTCAGGGGAATGTGGTAAATCATTGCCACTTACCAGCACACATCCTTAATGCTGAGTGACATTTTGAACACAGGAACATGACATTCATTCATGTCCCATAATGAATCGGTTATTTAAAAGGTAATCTCACTCCCTCCCTCTCTCCTCTCTCTTTTTTCTAAAAATTGCAACTTCGGGTTACTGAATAGACGAACTTCAACAGTGGTGTGATCCTTGTCAGTGTTTGTTTCTCTCGTTATGATCACTGCCTAATAGGTTTGGAACTGGAAGCAAAGGCAGGTTCTTCCATTTCTAGGCAACACTCCTGCTGGGGGTGGGGAGCCCCAAGTCTAGGCCCTGGCTGCGCTCCAGGGTCCAGGACGGGAGGGTGAGTGTGTGTCTAGAGAAGTGTCCCTGGGGAACATTGCTTCTGTATCATGGCTATTTCAAAGGCCATCGGAGAACTTAACAAGTGTGGAAAGATGGCCTGTTTTGTAGAAAAGCTGACTATTTCCCACATGCTCAGTGGCAGAGCGCTTTGTCACAGGACTGTAAAATCCAGGTCCTTTCCCCTCAGACCCTGCAAGGACGGTGCCCTCACACACATCTTTTCTGCAGCTTGCAAATCTCACAGCTTTGACACTGGGCTGCGCCCGCCATTCCTGTGAGCTCTGATGGCTTTCCCAGCTGTCGATGCTTCCTCAGCAAATGGCCCACAGGGCACATGCTGTGGTGTGGTAGGAATGTTACCTCTGCCTCTGGACTGCTGCTTTCTCAACACAGCTTTGATGAAGTGTTGACTGGGCTCATTTCAGCTGCTGGTTTAGCAATAGCAAGGTAACAGCCTCAGGACACAGGGGAAGCTGGTCAGAAACTTCCTGTCCCATTATGTGAATGACAATCTATGGGATTTTATCTTCAGAGGTAGTAAGGCTCCAGCCCAGGCCACAAGCAGCTCTTCTCCCTAGCAGTTGTAGGTACCAAATAGCTCTGCCAGGAGCAGGCTTTTACGTGGCATCAAAAGTGGGGCCCTGGCGTCTCCACAAGGGCTGCAGGCTCACCATGATAACTGGCCAGGGATCTGGGGAGTTCATCCTCCCCCTTCTATCCTTTCATACTGGCTGCCTGCCTGCCTCTGTCTTATTTGATTCAAGGGCACAGAGACCCTCCACATAGACACTGTCTGGTACCAAGTGACATACATTTCAGTTTGGCATAAAGTAAGGGTTTCCAGATGTTTAATCTAAAAACAGTAAGGTGACATGTGCCCCAACTAGCCTAGCCCAGTGCTGACCCCCCCCAAGTAGGAGTTCTGCAAATCATGACGTGGGTCATCCAACTATCTCCTCCCAGCCACCAAGCAGGTCACCTCATTCTTCCAGTGCTCAGCCCTTGATACAAACTTCTGGCATGCTCTCTGTGGTTCCTGAAGATATTGATAGCCATTTGTTTAGCTTGTGGCCTCCTGAGATAAGGAATATTAGAACCGTGTAACTAGAAATGTAAAAAGCAGCCCTGTTGGGTAGGTGTGAGCATATTTGCTCTCCAGTATTTTGTTCAATGGCATCTAGTGGTGTGGATCCCTCTTCCCTGAGCCAAGACAGTCTCGTTCCACCCAGATGCCTACATAGAACACCTTAGCTCAGAGCTTGGATGGCAGCAGCAGACCATCCAGGGTGCTGCCAGGCAGGAAGAGAGAGAGATACTGAACCAGCATCTGCTCTGCCCAGAAACACAGTGTGAGAACCCTTCAGTCTGCAGTCACACAATCTGCCACCCACTCCATGTCCAGGACAGGAATGTCCTACAAACTGTCTGCCAGTGGCCTGGCTTTTTAGCTAGCCATAAATAAAGTACACAGAATGTTGCCAAGTAAGAAAAAAAAATAGTTGAATGTTCAATGAGATCTCATTTTTAAAATGTGAGTTCTAGAAAGAGCCACACCAACATGTGTAAAGTGTTTTCTACTTACTTTGGGCAAGCAATTGTCTGTGCCTCTCTAATGTCCCCTCTCATGCAGTCCTTTCTTGAGTGAGCGCCATAGACATATAACCATCATCTGCCTGCACCTTTGAGATCTGCGCCCCCTGGAGGCTCCTCTTGGCCTCAGCACCACAAGTGGATTTGACTAGACCCTTCCACAACCAGCCCTGTAGACTTTCCCTGACCAATATTTTTCTTTTTGAGCATATCTTATTTTAAGCTACTTTTAAAAAGATTTATTTATTTTTATTTTATGTCTATGAATGTTTTGAATGCAGGTTTGTACACACACTTTGTGCTGCCTGATGCTCTCAGAGGCCAGAAGAGGGCACCAGACCCCCTGGAACTAGAGTTGCAGATGGTTCTGAGCCACAGTGTGGGTGCTGGGAACTGAAACCAGGTCCTCTGAAAGAGCAGCCGGGGCTCATAGCCACTGAGCCATCTCTCCAGCCCAGCATCTCTTATTAACTAAAAGTCTTCTATTTTGGCTATTTGTCCCTGTGAGCAGTAGCTCTGTTGCCTGAAGTTCCTAGGTTTTTCTAGGAAGCTAGACTCAGGTAAAACAGGACACAGCTGCCTTTGAAAGTAAAAGGGATTTCAGGATGAGCCAACATGAAGCAGGGTTGGAGTTTATTTAGCCAGAGAGGCAGCTCTGAGAGAATAAGGGCCCAGAGCATGGGGGTGAGCTTCTCAAAGGTGGGCCAGCTCTGCATAGGTTGTACACTGCCTCAGTGGCTCCAAGGTTAACCTCAGGAGTCCCTTTCTGATAAAGAAGATTGTTTTTGGACTCCAAGTGTTCTTTGGATAAAACTCAGATCCTCTACAGTCATACAAAGAGTTTAGGATGTATATTTTCACTGGAAGGGGGTTTCTGATGAGACTTTTGGAAAACTGTGGTTTTGGGGAAGTGTGTTTGGATTCTCAATGCTCAGCTGGTGAGAGTTGTTAGGTAGAGCCCAAAATGCATACAACAGAATCAACATAGATGTGAGAAAATGATAGTGTGTGGGGTAGGATAGGATGTTGGGTGCAGCTGTCTGGCTGTGTGGCAGTGGGTTCTGGGATTGGCTCTGAGTCTCTGGTCACTAAGATAAAGAGCACCGCTTGCTTGGGGAGGTAAAGGTATCTTTTTTGCCTGATCACAGAGAATAACCCTTCTTCCCAGAGCGCCACAAGTCAGGGACAACACCAGGGATGCTCCCCTGGAAGCCAAACAAGTGACGAGTGGCTCTACATGTGCACATCTGGCTGCAGCCAGGCTTGTTGCTTCAGTTCTGCTCTGCCTGCAAGATACCCCAGATGGGTAATAGTCCCACAGATACATATTGAAAGCAGCAGGTCCATCAGGCAACTTTGTGTACAGGCAAGGGAATTATAACTATTTACATGGGGGTATAGTCCTAGTCATAGCACACCCTCAACTTTCTGTGCCAATAATGGTGTTTGATGAGAACAGCCCATGCCACCCTGGGAAAAAGTGCCCATCCTCAGCTGAAATGACCCACACCACTTGAGACTTTGTAAGATGTAGGTGAGGGCACTGGATTCTCCTCCCAGCCTCCTGCCCATAGCAGTGGAATATTATGCCAGGCATCTACCAGGACAGATGTGGCTGTAGCAGAGGACTCACATGAGGGGGGACTTAGCCACAGGGTGTTGGGTGTCACTTTCCTATCCCAGGGTGTTCCTTCAGTTTTGTGGCAGATGTGCTTAACAAACAGGACCCTGAAACAGCAGAGAAAGCAGGGTTGCTCAAGCCTTTGTTGGCTGCAGTTACAAGCTTTGCAAAATTGTGTCTTTAAAATATTTTTCCTCCTTCCGGTTGCCTTTTAAACACCAAAAAACATATTTTTTTTTTAAAGAAAAGGTAACACTAGAGATTATGGTAGTAAAATTAAGCAAGTGAGGAAACCCAAGCTTCCCTACATGCAGACCCTGAAGAGGCACCACAGTGCTGAGTGGAGGTGGGGACTCATCCTTGTCCACCAACAGCTTCACGGGCCCATCGGCATCACTGACCACACACAAAAGCGAAAGCCACACCCAGACCTGCCCTGGCTCGCTGTGGGGGCACCCACCAACCCCTAGTCTTCTCTTTGATTGTTAGAAAAGCCATCTTCCTAGCCGCCATAGCTACTCTCTTAAAAAACCGGCTTCCTTTCAAGATGTTTGATACCAAGGAGGGTTGAAGGTGCTCGGGGCAAAGTCCTCATCAGGGCAGAAAGGAGGAAAATTTTATCTGAAACACAGATCTATGGATGAGCTGTGGAACTCTGACGTGGGCTGTGAAGGCACGAAGCAATTAAAAATAATTAATGATTTCTGAGGATCGGCCCTTCTCCATGCAGTTTTAATCCAGTTCTCATTTAAATTGGAAGATGGACATTTAATTATCAGTATTATGAAACTTGTGATTTATACATTCATCC